TAAACAAGTTGAAGACTCCAATGGATAGATCACTCCATGCACTGGCCTCCAGAGTGGCTAGTGCAGGAAATGCGTCATAGGCATGTGCGTCCACCAGTGCCAAACGCTGAATGCCGGTGCCTTGCACAAGGCCTGCCACGCACTTCTTGACCATGTCCGTTCCTGCAGTGGCCTTGGAAAGCAAAGGGCCAAAGTGACCAAAGGTTGGCATCGAAGTGGGGACAAGTGCATACACTAGGTGATAGGTGGTTATGTTCGACATTCAACTAGAGATAGATGGCTTCACACATGTAGGCTCATATTCCGATATATATACTAACTAATTGTTTCTACATGAACTTGTTTGTTGGCAAGTCGCTTGCTTGAATTCTTGGATATCGGTCATGTGGGCATCGATGCGGAGCTTGCTGGCACCACCAAACAATGGACAATACATCTCTCCACGTGGCAGCATGCTGACATCCTGCACGATCTGCCTCTTCCACACTGGAGATTTCCAGAAAAGGTTTCCTGCGGCTGGGGCTTTGGCCTGAGCTGGCACGCCATTGGAAACATGGCCGCCAGCATGGACAAATAGACAACAAACAAACACAACAGTAAAACTGTTTCCCACACACGTGGCCTTATCTCATGCCTGACGGAAACAGAATGCACTGACACACCCACACCCAAAGGCTAAGAAATTACTTGTTCGAGTACCCAAGCCCATGCCAAGCAGAGTTTTTTGTTTTTCTCAGGCTTTGGATCGATCGATGGCAAACGACCAAGGAGCGCATGAAACCTTTTTGGTAGGCTAGTGGCATTCACGAGAGATTGTAAAGGTCGAAATTGATTCAGCTTTTTTTAATGCGGCCCAGAAGCAGTGATCAGCAGGGCCTTGTGAAATGCGGTGCGCTTTCCGTATATGGTTGAGTTGTCAAACAGGATCATGAGGTCTTTCACAATCAAGTTCCGGGATGACTGCCGAAGTGCTGAATCAAACTTGTACTGCCAATCAGATAGGAGAGCTGATTCTGCACTGGAAGGACCTCCACCATCACCGGCATCTCCATCTCCAGCATCTTCGTCATGTTCAGGCTCCTCTTTTGGGGCATCGGCGGGGTCGTCCATGTCATCATCCTCTTCCTTGGCACTAGTCCTTATTATAGCAGGAGGTGCAGAATCACCAGCAATCATTGGGCCATTTTTTGAAGCACACATGTATGACAAGTAGGCACACATGTATGACAAGTTCATACAAGTTTGAAAGAGTCAATATAGAACTGCGTAAAATAGAGTATAGGATCTTCTTCTTTGACTCGGAAGCCCTGTTTGCGCGCAAAACGACACAAACGCTGTTCGAAGAGCGCGATGCCATCAACCCACTGATGAGCTGCAAGAAGTAATCCTTTTT